CCCATCTGTAGGTCATGGAAAAAACCAGTCTATAATTTCTGCAGTTGTCAAAAATCAGATGTTGTCTGAGACGAATTTGCCCCCAGGTGATGTGCGTTGAGAGCTCCCGTTGCATCGTACCAAACGTGTTCCTTGCAGCATCCCTGTTAAGCGCACTGCCAGCACGCTGACCACCAGACCTGGGTGTTGATGCTTTTAAGTGAAGGGGAAGCAACAGTTCCCTCCTGCATTATCTACCTGCTGTTGTTTCGTCTAAAGCGGTTGTGAAAACGTTCCGGTGTGTCAGCACTGTGCACGCACGTAACTCTATAGTGGGACTTGACACCGCGACTTACTCGCTTCCTTGATGCCTCTTGTCATGGTGAAAGTAAACACCCTTGTCCCACAGATCTGGTTCCACTGGTACTCCCCATCGCTTCTGTGAGTAGTGTTGTGTTACTGGGCGAAATCTGTCACGTTTTGGCGAGAAATCCCTAAAGAGTAAAGCCAAGCGGCTGGTGACTGGGGTAATCCAAATCTCCAGACCTGTGAAATCGGTAGATCTGTGGTCCCCACATGGCTGTGCTGTATTCTTCTGTCTAAGGGTTCTTACAGAAAGTAGTTCCTCTCTCTTCTTGTTAGTCTGGGTCAGGGCACTGCAGCTGCCCTTCCACCAAACCCGCGGCTCAACCGCGTGCCCCGGATGCGCCTACTTCCGTCTCTCACCTTAAATGGGTATTTGCTTCCACACAGAGCTTTAATCTTTAGTGCTGTTCAGCAGTCACTCAGAACACAAACACTCGGCCAGAGTTAGTGCGCAGAAAGGAAGAGGAGGGTTGCGTTTTGAACCTTGCCTTTGAGGACCCGGGTGCGAAAACAACCCCCAAAGCCAAAATTGGGTGCAGCTTATTCCAAGGACGAAAGCAACAGCAGGTCATTTACACGTGGTGTACCCTGTCCTCTGTCCAGTCGATGCCATTATTATATTTGCATCCCAGTTGCATCACTTAACTTGAGAAGCAGTTAGGAAGGTACATGTCGAGTAACATTTGTAAGTCACACCACTTTCTGCAAAGAGGGAGACCACACAGTAGTCCTTAATTCCCACTCTTCTACCAAAAATGAATTTGAGATGTCCGCATGGTTTTCCCTGCTGCCTTTTCCTGCAGAAAGTAGATGGGAATTTGCAGGCTACTCTTCTCTGTTCTCGTTCCACTCCCTAAGATTTGGATTGCCCTACCTATCGATAACATTTCAATATGCATTATGGTGCACTGTGAGTGAATGTTGTAAAGTAACCTGTAAGTCACAAACAGTCATTGCAGCTTTAAGTGTGTGTCTACCTGAAAAATTGCATGCCTAACTGGTTTTGCAAAGGTAGAGGGTCTTTTTACTTTGCACACTAGTAGCTCCGGTACTAGTGTTACGTGATACTTGTGAAAATATTAAACTTTTTTGATGTGCGTTAACTGGTGTTTAGTGGTTCTTTCTGGAAGAGGTGCTGTTGGCTGTTGGCTTAGTGCTTTGGGAAGAGCTATTGTGCAGGGAGAGCTGCAACCTAATCCCAGTGGTGCCTGTGTTTTGTGTGTGTGTGTTTTTATTCCCGGGCATTCGGGGTCAGATTCACACAGGTCCCCGTGCCTCGTGTTTCCTAACGTAGTTCAGCAGAGGCACAGCGCTGACAGCGCCCAAATCTTAGGGGCCGTGTGTTTTGTCGGGGTGCCCGCCCTGCCCTGCCTTGTGCAGGGGGATCTGCGCTGCAGGAGAGCCTCGGGGGCTGCACCGAGGCCGAGGTGTGGTTGCTTTAGGCTTGTGATGGATACCACATGTCCTGTGTGCCTAGGGTCTGCAGAGTCTGGTGCTCCTGCACCACCGGCTTGTGCTGGAGTTGTGGTAGATGAAAGCCCCTTTTGCCTACACTAAAGCTGTGCTTCTCCAATAACCCATTTTACGTTGCAGCTTGAATAGTCTCTGACAGCCTTGATGTGCAGCTATGACCCCAAACAGGAGACAGAAGAAGGTGAGAAACTATTTGGGCACAGGGGACACGTTGCATTTGAATTGCTTGAAGGTTTGCAAATCTTGTGCCTGCCGCTGGCAGTGCTGTAGGGGTGGTGTGAGCTGTGCCTGGGGACCTGGGCTTGGAGCCCTGAGGGCCAGGCTCAGTGCAGGATAGAGGGTGAACGAGAAGTGGAAGTTAAACTTGGTCTCAGGGTGACTGTGAATTTTGGAGATGCTGGCATAGGTCGTTTTGTTTATTGGATTCAGCTCATAACAAATAGGGAGTGAGTTTGCGTTTCTAACTTTTCCTACCGTGGACCGTAGTTGATGTACACGATAAGACACGGCAGTTCTTTTCCAAAGGGAAACATGGTGGGATTTTCATTTCCAGACTACTTCTTACCCCTAGGAAACTGTTCCAAGTCAATCACAAGCTATAACTGTCTGAAGAAATGTCTCCAATGTTACCCAAGCAATGACTGAGATGTCTTTCTTAAAGCTTTTAGGCTTGGTGAATAAGATCACAGTCCTCTTAACTGTTAAGCTGTAATTACTGCAATATGAACACAAAAATCTTTTATTTCCTGGGGAAAAGACCATTTGCATACCACTGTTGTAATGTCATCTGCTCCTTACTTCTCTGGGGTTCTCTCAGAAGCCTTTTGAATGGGTTTTAAAACAAGCAGACCTTGTTTTGTTTTGTTTTCTTAAGAAAATAGCAGAAGGCAAAATAAAGTGTTTCTGAACTTCTGAACCCCGTTCCGTGCTTTTTGTTCGTTCCTTTGCCATAAAAATGAGATTCTTCAAGTGTTTTTCTTCACTGACTGCAGGGACTGCTTTGCTTCTTAGAGCACAAGTAAACATGCAGGGGAGGGATTTACTGCTGACCTGGATGTCTTTACTGCTGTGTGGTATTTGATGCTGTCTATATTTATATGAGGAATTGCGTGTACTTGGTGTTCCTCGTGTATCACAGGAATCATGTAGCCTGCCTTGGGCAGCCTTAACTATTGCTGTGTCTATGGGATGAATCTGGGCTGTGAGTCCACCAGGGCACAGGGAATTCCTGTTGGTGAAGAAATCATCCTCTGCTTTCTGCTCCCAATAAGAGAAGGAGATGCCTTGAGCTGTCAGAAAACGTCGGTGCCAGTCAGGGACTGCACAGGGGGATGCACTGGCGGCACGTGTGTGACACTGGGACATCTGGAACAGGCCCTGGCTGGCTGTTCAGGTGTGCTGGAAGAGGGAAAGGGGGAAGGTGGGATGCTCAAGAGAGGCCTGTTTGGTCTAAAGAGCTCTGCATTAGAAAGCTGCAGAGTTTAAAGGCCTTAGACTCACGCCAGCTGGGCAGGGGGAGTACAGCTCATTTTTTCCAAATACTGAGCTCTGTGGGCAGATGTCCTTCAGTTCCTCAGAGCAGGGGTCTGTGCCATGTCTATCCTGGTCCCAGCGATGTGTGCCTGGCAGAGCATCTCACCCAGATGGTTCTCAGGCCCTTTGGCACAATGACTTGGTGGTGGCTGTCTGCAAATGCCACTGCCCAGCAGTTACAGCTGTGGGGAGAACAGGCTGGCCTGGGGAAGAGGGCTGGCCAGGGAACATCTGGACTAGAAACCATCTGCTGGAGTGATTTAAAATTGTGAGCTTTCTCAGATTGGGTTCTCTTGTCCCAATAGTGGGAGGAGTTGCATAACATAATTGTTCTCCACAGAGCCAGGGAGGTGGAGAAGTGGAGAAGGAACATGTATCCCACTCCAGTATTGAAACAGGCTTGGGAAGAGTCGTATCCCTGAGTACTCCTTCAGTTCAAGCCTGGATTTCTCTGGATTTACAGCAGAATTTAAGCCTGGCAGCACTTTGTAGTTTGGCTTTCACAGAGCAAAGGAGAATATTTCAAATAACTGGATCTTGTCAACATTACAGGGGCTTTTTAATTGATAAGGTAAGGCTCTGTGATATTTACAAACCTGGCATGAGAGGTGATTGTGAGGTTCTAACTTACCACACCACTATTAAATGCTGTATTACTTTTACATAATGTTTATATTTCAGCTTCTCCTGTTCTGTGTGCCTGCACATAATGCCTCAGGCTGGGAAGATGACATATTTCAGCCTTTATTTTCATATCTGGGAAGAGCAGTGAGGATAAATACGGGGTAAGTCTGGAAAGGGAAGGTGAAGGGACTATCTGGGAAAAGACAGCGGTGGGTCACTGCTGTTAGGATTAAAAGGATGTAAGGAAGGTGGATTCTGGTTGGATCCATGAGCCCTGAACAAGCCAGTGGGCATCCCTGGCTCCTGACTGAGAGCCTTCTGGGAGCCTTGCTCTCCAAATTAGGCACCACAACTCATGGGAAGAAGGAATCACTTGAGCACGGTTTAATAGGAAAACAACATTGTTTTGGGACAAGGTTATAGAAATCCATGCGATGACAACATGTTCAGGGACTGTTTCTGCCGGTGAAATCACAGGCATGACAATCCCAGAATTCAGAAAATTCTGAGGGCAGGCTGGATTTTTCAGTCTGGATGTGTTAGTATTTGCCTTTGCTGTAAACAGGCTTTGGCCCACGGTGTTATCTGCCTTGGGGCTGTCCACACAAGGGTCCATCCCAGCTGGGCCACTCGAGCCCCAGCCTTTCTGCTCCATCGCCTCTTTTCTGAATTTAAGTGTCTTGGTGGAACAGAAATCAGGAGATGACAGTGTGGAAGAGAATAATTTATATTCTACTGATTGGCACTGCCTCAGATCTGCTCTGCTGATTTTTTTTGACCTCCTGGGGCTGATGTCTGTTCTGTATTGCAGCTGTTGATGTAAGGGAGGGCTAAACTCGTATCTGTAGCTGGGTGATATTTGGACCTACATGGATATAAGAATTATCAATACACTGCCTTTAATGCTGATGGCATCCAAAGAAGTCCTGTAGGAAACAGTTGGTCCAGAGAAAAAGACCTGCCTGAGTCTTCTACAGATCTGCTGCCTTGGCATGGTGTACGGGGATGGAGCCAGAAGCAGGAAATTAAAGTGGTGATTGGGTGAGGGTAAACAATGTCTTCTCTTTCTCATTCAGCTGAGTTTCTGTGTTGAAACTTGTTGTTCTTGACTTCCTGTGGGTTGTCTGGTAGAGAGATGGGGACATAAGTTTAAGTTTGTCTTTTTCTGTTGCTTTTATGCACGGACACCACCGGAAGGCTAGCTTGAAGCCAGAACGAAACCTGTGAAAGTGAGAAGAGCAATTAAAGGGTGAAATGATCTTCCTAATTGCTCAGAGAATGAACAAACTCGAGATTTGGTTCTACCTGTGAATGACTACAGAAATAAATACTTCTATTGAAGTCAAAGGAATGAGGTGAAAAGCTAAATGCATAAAACCACAGAGGGAGGTGTATTAGGAGTTTATGATCAGATTTCCTTGTATTTTAAGTAAACATGCAAACTCAGTGAAAGGGCAGGGTGTTTGATGCACTCAGTAGTAGCTGGTAACCACATTTGTGAGACACACAACATCTGAGGAAAATATATGTATTTACCCACTGGGAGCTTTTTTTTTTTTAAAAAAAACTATGAATAATTAAGCTAGGAAGCCGTCTGCCTTCTGGGAGAGGAGGGGGGAGGACACATTTGTGTATTTCATGTTAAATGTAGCTTGGGTGAACGGGCTGCAAAACGATTCTGCGAGTTCACTGAAACATTGGAAGGAGCGAGCCTTGCAGCATCGCTCTGGAGTTAAACATTGGGTGAAACTGCACAGGCAATGTGCTGATAACCACTTCTTGCCTTTGCAGCTCCACGCAGCGAGGCTGAAGAGGGATGGGGGTTATGGATGCAGGATTTGGCACGGAGACCCGCGGGCAGCAAGAGCAGCTCCCTGCGCTCCGCACTGTGCAGCCCTCCCAGCGCAGAGCAACAGGGACATCTCTTGGCACGCTGGGGTTGTGCTCCCCCAGCTGCTCCCTTGTGGTGACACGTCCCGATGGGACCTCCACAGGTCACCCGTGGGCTGCTCCTGCTTCCCACCCACGGGGGTGAGCCCAGGACTGTGCTGGGGAGAGCAGGTGGCTGAGGCAGCCCAGCATTAGCTCAGCAGAGGCGATGCAGGGATTGCAGACTCCTCCCTTGGAAACAGGATGGTCTGCACATGGAAATGTGTGCAAATGTGGCTGTGCTGATCCTATGCCTGCTGCCTGTGCTTTATCCAGAGACAGAAAATACTCAGGGCTGAGTTAAAATCTCTGAGTGTTTCCCATCTCACACTATTGGCACAGGGTAAGTTGTCTAGTTGGCCTGGGGACTGCAGCTGAAAATCACAGCTGTTCTCACCTCCAGAGATTTATGTTTTCCCAGGCTGAGGTTTCAGTTTTCTCTGAGCACACGTGTCCACACTACTCACCTCTGGTTCAGGCAGCAGTATATGATGGGGTTGTACATTGTCGAGCTCATGGCAAGGAGGAAGACTGCGAGATACACCTGCTGAATGTATTTCTGCTGGTAGATGTCCTCCTTGAAGCTCCCCAGGATGAAGTATATGTGATAGGGCAGCCAGCAGACAGCAAAAATGATCACCACTACCACCATCGTCTTCACAAACTAGGAAAACAAAACCAAGGGGTTACTCCTGGGCTCTGGGTGATTGGGTTTGCTGGGGCACTGGGAAGTGCTGGTTTCACTCTGGGGCTGGTTTGCCCTCCCAAAATGCCGTGTGTGGAATGTAGACCTGGACTGCTATGGCAAAGAAACCAGCCCTGGTGATGAGAACTGGGAACAGGCAGGGAGTGCCCTGGTGATGGGAACTGGAGCAGGGAGGGAGTGCCCTGGTGATGGGAACAGGGTGGGGGTTAAAGCAAATGTTTCCCAGGGCATCGAGTGGACTCTGCAGAGGATCTGCTTGCAGCTACACCAGGGAGATGAGCAGGGAAACGAGGTCGCTGCTGTCACACCGAGACTGCTCTGCTCTCTCCAGAGTTTTACCCTGGTTTATCCTGCAGCATGTGGATTCTCTGGACACCAGGCTTTACTCTCTAAGGGCTGCTGGCAGCCAGCCTGCTGCTGTGAGTCTTTCTTCCTTGAACGCTGGCTGGTGCACGCAGTCACCATTTTTTTAAACTTGCAGGCTGATGCCCTTTACCCCAGACCCCGAAGTGTTTTGTTAACCTTTCAAACCCAATCCCACAAGATTTTGTATCAAGCACAAGCTCCATTTTGGGACTGGAGCCAGTAGGGCTGGTGTGCTGGGGGTAACTATACTTAAGTTTCACTTCTGACCTTTTTTTTGGCGTTAACTTGGTGTTCGTAGTGGACTCTGTTCAGGTGGTTGCCTGCAGCTGCGCTGCTCCACAGGGTAACTCCTATAATGCTGTATGCAACAAACATCACCATTAAGGGCAGTAAATAAATCAACACAATCACAGCAATGTGATACCTGGAAGAGAAGAACAAGCAGTTTGTCAGTCAGTATGGCTCTTGGAGGGCTCCTCCAGAAACTGTCTTTTGGATACATGTGCTGGCTCCTATTAGCAAAACCACAAAGAAGAAATTTTGTCTCTAATTATTGTTACAGGGACTTCTGTAAACAGCAAAATCTCATCTCTCTAATGGTGTGATGAGGGGTTCTTGGGCTGGATTCCCTGCTCTTTCAAGACAGAGTAACATCATTTATCTTTTAGCAGAGGGTTGCAGTCCAGGGCCACCTGCACTGGGCTTTGCTATCCCACTGCAGCTGGGGGAGAGAGAGAAATGCTGGTTAAAGTACAAACCCTTAAATCACAGGTATGGGAAAGGAATAGTCCAAAAATTACAGAGTAACTTGATGAATGTAGTAGTGGCAGTGGTGGAAAAGAGCCAGATCAGGGACTGCAAAAGGTATCTGGCTGCAAACAGGGTGCACAAAGATGCAGACAGTGAGGAAGGGATGTAGCCTGTATTTGTGTAGCTGGCTGGTTTTATTCATTTATTTACTTATTATTTATATTTATTTATTTCTATTAATTATGTAATAGATTATGTATATTGTAGATATATATATTATCTATTATGTATATTATATGTATATTATAATATATAATCTATTGTGTAATATATTATGTAATTACAATATATTTATTATGCATTTATTTATTTTTCATTTATTTTATAATGTACCACCAACAGGCCACTCAGTCACTGCTCCAGCTGAAAGCACTGGCATCCCCTTAGCTGTATTTTAACCTCAGCCCTTTCTTGTTTTTTCATGCCACAAACTTCTGCTGGTTCCCTCATGCTGGGGGCTGATTAGTTTGAGCAACCACCATTTATGGGAAGGGAACAACCTGCTCTCTCCATCACAGCTGCTGTCAAGTTAACATAAACATGTGAGAAGTAGGATTGGGCAGGAGGGCTCCAGCACACGTTGCTGGCAGTGACCCCAAAAGGCTGGGTGGGTGCAAATGGCCTTTCTCAGTCTGACAGGGCTCTGGGGTTACTCCTCACATCAGAGCTTTGCTGTTCAAATGGGTGTTTGTTCCTTGGGGTGGCTGCATAAAGAAAAATATTATATTTGTGAGATGTGGCGGCTTTGTCCCTGCCTGTCTTCTGCTTTTTCCTATTGTGCTCAGAGGGGTTCCTCTTTGGGAGGTCTGAGACTGTGTGTGGAGTGCAGCAAAGCCCTTTTAGGGTTCCCATCCTGGGAGGAGGAAGGGAGGATGGGAGCCAGAGTCTGAGCACAGGTAAAAAGAAACTTTGTCTCGTAGCTTTACTACTTTGCTGCAAAGCTAAACTGTCACTAGAAGAAATATCCTCCGTGTTTCCTTAACCTCTGTGGTTAAGGCTCTTTATTCTGGTTAAACTTCCATATCCTTAACATTCAATATTTATCAGGTGCTGGTGGTCTGTAGTGCCTTGTTTGGGGTTTTAAAAATTATTATTAATATTTTTTCTAACTTCTTTCTGTCATAATTATACACATCTTTCCTGCAGAAAAGGATTTTCCTTTGCTCTGAAGTCTAGAAATCTTGAAAGATGGGTTTACTCAACTGCAAAGGATTCAGAGGACACACAGTCAACACAGGAGCCCAGTTCTCAATTTTTTTTTGTTTTTCTTTTGGTTTCTTAGTATTTCTCTTCCTTGTTATTTGGACTAGTATATGAATGGCTGCACATTGCTTTTTCTCCATGGTCTATGTTGCAGGCATCTGTCCCAACAAATCCATCACTCAGTATGATTTCTGGGGAGCAATGATTCCAACTTGCTTTCTAAAACAGAGACCAAAACCAGTGGATCTGAGGCTGTTTGGGGAGGGAGAGCTGGTGAGTGGGGCATTGTGGTCAGGAGCTGCTGCTCTTCAGCTGGAGATCCCAGGAAGGATCTGCCCTGCTCTTTGCCACGTTCAGGACCAGCCTTTCCAGCTCAGAGGGATTTTGTCAGCATGCTGAGGAACTCATTTGAATCCTTTCCACGCCATGGATGTGGGAGAAATAAACCTCACACTTTTAATCTGAATGAAATAATCATCAGTGACTCATGTATTGCTGGTTATCTGTTCTCCCTCCTCCTCAATCAATGGGAGCCTGGCACACTTTGCTCCCCAGCAAGTTCCAAAGGGTACCCAAAAGGAGCCCCCAGGAGGAATTTCACCCAGCATGAGAGGTTTGAGAATGATTTTACTCTTGGAACAACTGGCAACCACTGCCTGAATATAATGCAGCCTGGTCAGAGTTACACAAAGGTGGTGGAACCTGGCACGTGTTAGTGTGAAAATCAGTTGGTTTGGTAATAATAAATTGAGGAGGCATCCAGCTGTCTGCCAGAGATGAAGACTGAGCAGGGAAAATGTCCCACGTGCACGGAGCAGGGCAAAAGCCATCACAGTGGGTTTTGGTTTGAGAAATTATTTGTGATTTGTTAATGGATTCGTTCCTTTTCCTCAGTTCTTCCATTGCTACTTGGTATAAATATGTTCTGCTTGGTAAATTTCTGAAACGTGCTTTGAATGATGAGCAATCACAGCAGATCCCCTGAATGCAGGGTACAGCCTGTTTCATCTGTTGGAACAATCTTGCTTTCAAGCAGGAGGAAATCGCTCTGAGGCTCAGGGACTTTCGGGAGAGCAGATATGTGCCCAGATAAATAAGTCTATAAAACCTTAGGATGTTTGAAACATGCTGCTCTTGGCTTTTATATTCCTTCTACCCCCGCAAAGAGCAGCATAATTTGTAACTTATTATGTGGCTTCTCAGCATTAAAGATACCCAGTTTCCTCCTGCCTGATGGAGAAAGAAAATCCAGAATCTTTGAAACCAGGATTTATTGATTGTTTAGAGACTTTTTACACTGCTTTCTCTTAAATTCCCCAAGCCCTGTGTGTAGGGTTTTTAGACATTATAACCAGTTTTCAAAGCAGGGGAGGATGGCAGGTTCAGGATTAACCTGAACCATGACCACCTGGCAGGTTTTTCCACAGTTAACTGAGTTTAGATGGGCTGCCCCAGCCCCACATTCTCCTGCTCTCTTTCCCAGCACTCTCCATAGTCAACAGCTGGGAGATGAAATGATTTTCCTGGTTAAGTTTTGCCTGAATTGGGAGTTTTATCGTGTCTCTTACGTCAGCTGGTGCCTGGATCCAACATCACCGGGCCAGACCACGATGCATTTCATGGCTCCGTTGTCCATCGTGATCTCGGCGTAGAAGCACTGCGGGAAGGCAAGCCCGAATGCCACCAGCCAGATTATCCCAATGATGACTCTGGTGCTTCCAGCAGACAGCCTGGGCTTGAAGGGGTGAATTATGGCCACGTACCTGCAAGAAACAGGTAGTGCTTTTACAGTGAAATGGTGAATTGATTGAAATTTATACAACAGATTAGATTGAAATCTATACAACAAACGCAGCAAGTGTAAAAACTCACCAGGACAGCATAGTGGGCTTTATAATATATATATATTTTATATATGTTAGATTATATATTAGATTAGATATTATATCTAATAATTGTATTGATATAATTATATTAATATAATTATATTAATATTTTGACAGGTTCCAGGTAGTAAATAATAAGGCACTAAATTCTTTCTGAAGAGAATGATTGCAAGTCTTAGGGCAGGATTTATTAAACCCACATGCATGGATGCTTCTGGTGTGAGGAGGAAGCAGTCCTTCATGTCTTCTGCACGTGGTCTTTGCAAGCATTGTCCTTATGGAATTTCTCATAGAATCCCAGAACGGTTTGGGTTGGAAGGTGTTTTAAAAATTACCTACTTCCAGTCCCCAGCCATGGGCAAGGACACCTTCCACTGTCCCAGGGTGCTCCAAGCTCCATCCTCCCTGGCCTTGGACACTGCCAGGGATGGGGCAGCCACAGCTGCTCTGGGCACCCTGTGCCAGGGCCTCACCACCCTCACAGGGGCAGAATTTCTTCCCAGAATCCCATCTAACCCTGCACTCCATCAGCGTGAAGCCATTCCCCCTTGTCCTGCCACTTCAGACCCTTCCAAAAAGTATTCTCACTCTTTTTTTTTTTTTTAATGTTACTTTTGCAAGTGCCTTACCAAAAAAAAGACCAGACAAGCATGCTTTTTCCTCCTAATTATGTCAATCTCTGATGCTTCATATTAGCACAAGAGCAGACTGGGGTCTGGAGTATCCTTTACCCTGATATTTTCCACACTGATTTTTAGCTGTGGAAAACTGGTGCTGTCTGCCCCTGTCTGTGACTGCCTGAGCACTCGTGCTTGCAGCAGAGGGAAGGGCTGACCCTTTCATCCCACACCTGCTCAGAGCCCTCATGGCACATCTGACTCTTGGATTACTCATGAGCCAGAGGCGCTCTCTGGTTTTAAGTTGCCTGTGTGGAAATGCACGGTGTTGTAACGAGTACATAATCAATTATTCATTTCATGTCATGCTTTCCCTATTCTTTGTCATGGTTGCTACAAAGGCAAAACAGAGTGGAAAATGCCCATTGCCTCCTAGTTTTCATAGTAAAAATCTGACAAACTGTGCTGTCTGTTGGCCAGGCTGTTGGTCGGGAGCTCTGCCCAGCTGCTGCTGCAGGACAGTGAGCAATCCAGGGCTGCACAGCAGCAGGGCCTTATTTAGCTATAAAATTTTCATGTCACCTCTCTTTAGCTTGCCATAGGCAGTGTTACACAGTGCTCAGGGAGGAATCCACCAGTGGATATTCAGAGAAGTGCCTGAAACGATGATCTGTGGCCCTCAGTGAATGGCAAGTCCTGGGAATAAATGATGCCAGCCACTGTGCTGTTACTGCAGCCATCAAAGGTGTCACAGGGCTGGGTGGAGGCTTTCCCACTGTGCCAGCTGTGCACCCCCGAGGCAAGCTGCGATTTTAGGCGAGTTCCTGCAAGTTGGGAGATTTATCAAACCTGCTGAGATCTCCTGGCCTCTCTTGCTGTGTGGCAGCACAGCCTTTGCCCCCCTGGCTGCTCGTGCCTTCTCTCCAGTGGCATCCCAGGATGCTGGGACTACAATCTCAGCCCTCTTTCTCTGGTCCTCAGACATGTAGACAAAACATGCTGAATTTTGGATCCTCTTGGGCATTTCCAAACAGGTCATAGGAGACAGTGCTAACGGGAGTGTGAAACCGGCGCTGATCGATAAGACTGCATTTCTGCCTCGAGCTCTGCACTGGGAACAGCTGCTCTGCTGATGGGGAAACCGAGTGACCCTAAACCCAACCATGAGCAATATCACCAGAGACTTCTCCCTGGCAGAGAAAAACGACTTGGAGCTGTCACTTCTTAGCCTCCTTCCTTAAAATAAACCACTTCAGAAGATGTTGTTTTTATCGAAGGTAAACATTGGAGCTGGAGGGGACACGAGTTCTCTTAACAATAAATGGAAGCGTCGAGTTTCCAGGAGACCGTGTCAGGATCTATTTTAAGGCTAAGCAAAGAATAGCTAAATATGGTTTGCAGTGAGGTGCCAAGTTTTCTTTCTGATCTGTGCCATGTGACTAAAGAGGTTTTGGCTATATAGGTGCTTTCACCAAAAATCCCCGGGGAACAAGAGTAGGAAGACATGGCAACAGGCTGAAACAGCTTTTAAAAAATATTCTTTGTCAGACAAGGTGTATAAAATAGCAGTTACCAACAAGCCTTGATAAGGAGCACAGGAAACCTGAAGGAAACTGCAAAGTCAACAGCAGGGCTTTGATAAAGGAGTGCTGGACACTGGGTCAGGCTGCCCCAGGGAAGTCCTTCAGCGTGAGGCTGCAGCAGGGAGAGGGAAGACAGGAAGGATGGAAGGAAGGAGGGGAGAGAGCCTAAAGGGAAATAACTTCCTCTGCTTCTTGCACACAGCATTGCCTTCAAGAGAGGAAATTCCCACAGCTTTTCGGCCACTTTCTAGTAAAAAGGAAAACAGCTTCATGCTATTTAACAATGAGCTGTAAACACAGACAGACTCCAGAAATTAAAGCTTAAGTTAAAGTGATTTGGCAGTTAGAAGTGAATTTTATGAAAATACCAAATTGCCCCAGAAGTCAAACAGAATCACTGTCATTACTTCCCTCCCTCTCAGAATAAATTGTTCTAGTGAACCAGGGGAGCAGACTCTGCCATTTCTAATCTAATTCACATTATTTCTGGTGGTTTGCTGGAAGCACAGCAGGATTAGGGCTGCTGATAGTTTCAGCAGCCTCCAGCATATTCTCCTTTTTCCATATATATCCATCTCAAGGTTTAAAAAAACCTGACAAAGCCACAAAAGAATTTTCAGGAGGACTGAGAAACAATTTATGATCAATAATGTGGGAACAACAAAATACCAGCCACTTCCACTCGTTACAGATTTGGGTGTGATTCAGACCAGGGATTAGAAAAACCCCAGAAGATCACACCATAATTAGTATCAAACCCCACAATCTGGCACTCCTTCCACTTTGCTGATAAGGCAGCTGACAGAGTAGGGGCACAAACTACTGCCATGATTTTTTTAGGACTTACAGGGGATCTATCAGCCCTCATCTTCTCCATTCGCCTCTTACCTCTCTGCAGCCACGGCTGTCATGGAGTAAATGCTCACAAACACTGCAGTGATGGGGAACCAGTTCTGAAACCTGCAGAATTCCTCTCCGAAATACCAGACATTGTGACTGGCATAGATAAAATTGAAGATGGTGTTGAAAGCGGACATCAGCAGGTCCGAAAGGGCCAAGTTAACGATGAAGTAATTGGTGGCGGTCCTCATTCTCCTGTGTGCCAGGATGATCCAGATGATGGTGATGTTGCCAACGATGGATGTGATAACGATGAAGGAGTAGGTGATGGCCCACAGAGCAATTCTCCATCCTGGCTGGGTGAACTGGGTCGCCGCCGTCCAGTTGTGGCTGTCCTCGAAGGAGCCGGCCTGCGAAACGTTGCTCGCGTTAAAAACGGGAAACACGCCCATGGCTTCTCACTTCTTGTAAGTGTAAAAGAAAATTTGGCATCTGCTCATTTCCTTGCAGTAGATGCTGGTGGTGTGAATTTCCCTGCATTTAAAAAGACATCGGGATGAGCTGTCTCATGTCCTCTCGTCCTGTTTTCCAAGTGGTGCAATGCAGTTCCAGGAGGAGATGAGCGATGCCAAGGGCGGCCTCCTCCTTCCCTGGCATTTTAACCTATGCTTGAAGAGCAAAAACTAAAGAAAACTCCCTTCTTCAAGTTTCCTTTTCCTCTAAAACAGGAAGAAAAAAAAAAAAGGGGAAAGGAAGGTGTTTTCCAGGCCAGTAGCAAGCGATGTCTTCCTTTAGATTACTTTTAGGGACAAGAGAACACTTCAATCCAAGCAGAAATTCTTTGTCAGGGCAGCAGTTTTCTAAAGCACCAGGTGTCTGAATCCCCTGCAAGTGGGACTGGGGACTTTTTTTTTTTTGCTGTTCTTTCCCTGTGTAACTATTCAGCACAAAGCAGGAGCTGCACTGGGAGAAAATCTCAACAGGTTTTAAGGGGACTTTGAAAGGAGGTGGAGTCTCTTGCAGGGGAAAAACTAAACAACCAATTTGACATCAAATGAAACGTGGCTAAGAGGTATGTGAAGCTTCCCCCCCCTGCTCCACTCAGTTTTGAACAACCTCTGCAATGGCCACGCTGCTCTGTCAGGATTTTTCAGGCTTACATGCAAGGGTAGTTACTTTGCCAGGTTTGCCAGTCCTGCAGCCCTCGTGTTTCCAGGACCCTGCCCGACTTCCCGTGAGCTCTCACAGCGAGAGAGAAACCACAGTCGATGCTATTCAGCAAGATCCTGCCCTTTGGATGGCTGCACCCCCTTTCCCAGTGTGTGCTGGAGGAACTCGGTGACCTCACACATGCAGAAACTTTGGGATCTTGTAGGAAAGAGGAACCCCTGACTGCTCTTGCTTGCTGTCAGCTCTAAGGCAAAGGGCAGAAACAGAAGTGACACACTGAGGCTGAGATTTCCAAGAGTACTTGGCACTGACTCGTGCCTGCTCGACTGGGAGCTGAAGGTGTTTCAGGTACAAAGACCTGCCTTCAGGATTCAGAAGTGTACTGGATTCAGGATTCAGCCTGTAGTGCTGGGATGGCAGTGCTTTTCCAGCTCCCGTAGCTGCTGGAGCTGCAGCTTGTGCCAGGCTTTCCTGCAACAGGGCAGTGTTTATCAGTTCAGGATCCTTTGCACCAGCTCAGCCTGGAATCTTTCCTTGCTTCATAAATTTCTGGAGGCACCCTGAGTTAACCCATCACCTAACCAACTCTTTCAAGCAGCTTTTCTCTGTTACAATATTGCCCTAGTTTCACTTTTAAAGAAATCAATACCTGTAGTCCTGCATGTAATGTCTCCTTCTCTTCACAACAGACTTCCCTGCAGGTAATCCCTCTCATTTCCCTGCCCAGAAACTGAAGAGATACACTTGTACCTATCTTCTGACCTGCACTGCAAAGCTCTTCCAGGTGCTTCTTCAAAGTGTTACGCTGACACCTCATTAAACAGCTTGGGGACCTTCCACTTTCCATACACAGCTCAGGAGGGCTGTTTGTAACTTCCAGTCCTAATTCAACAGCTCATAGGTTCTTCAATTTATTTTTTTTTAATATACTGTCTCAAATCCCCACAAATTTGAAGGAGAATGAGGGCAAAGACCTCCACACATTTCGCTGGGAGGGCACTAAAGTGCTTTATCAGTGACAGAAAGTAGAATGGAAGCGAGTCCTTAGAAAAAGGGCTGCACTTATTGACCCTCCAGTGGTGAAGCTGCAACCTTTCTCGGCTGACTTTGAAGACTGTCAGGGTGCTCGGGTTTCTTAGGAACCTCCTTGTGAACCATCTGCCCTGGTCCCTGATCTGTTACTCAGGTGATAATCGAAGAGCAGCCACCCTTTGGTCAACATCTCATCATATGAGTCAGGAGGGATTTGCCTTCCTGTATCCACACCCACACCTTTTATTCGTTTGCTCAGTTGTGCATTGACAAGGTTATCATCCTGGAGCCTGGCCAGAGATTTATTGTGTGCTATCAGCCTTTTGACTTGAAAACTGGAGCAATTTTTGACACAGGCCGGCTCCAGATTCCTCAGGGAAGTCACATTTGCCTGAGACAGTGGGTAAAACCTGCCTCTCCAGTGGTTCTGGAGTTGTACCAGAGAAAGGGACCACCTGAAAGCAGGGGGGATTTGGGTTTGGCTGGTTTCACTGTTGTTTTTATTATGGGCAGGATTGTCAAGGCCAACCATTACCGTGCTGAGTCACCAATCCCAGGTCAGAGCAAAGGCTGAGAGATGCAAACAAAAGATGTGGGTCTGCAAGGTCAGTGGATCGAGGGGTGTTTTGGAAACATAATCCAAGGTAATACAGGCAGTAGAGGCTTTAATCGTATTTATTGCAAGCTGGACCCTCCTTTTGGAGGAAGAGCCTTTGTCCAGGGAACAGCTCTGAGAGCAGGACATGAGGACCATGAGCATCCCCCTTGGGTGGGGCAAAGTGCAGCTGGCCTGCAGCTTCTTCAGCCAGATGTGGGCTGGAAGGAAGCAGCAAAAATGCCTCTGGCAGCACTGAAAAGCTTTGGGTCTTTCTGACATGGTTTGGTGCAGGGCTAGCTGTTCACTTCTTTCTGCAGAGCTCCTAAAGCCCTGGGGCAAGTGCTCTGCAGTCCTTGGCTTTTGGTGTCTTTAGGACAGCCCCTGGCGATGAGTGAGGAAATGTGGAAGTTGCTGATCCTTAATATGAACAAAACCACTGCCAGTTGCGCTGTCGGATGGTCCCAGGACCAGATGCTGTAATGAACAATCTGCCAGGCTCTTCCTTGGAAAACTGCAGCCCTGTGCTGCCCTGGGCTGAGGTGGGGAGAACACAATCACCGTGGAGCCCGAGGCTGTTCATAACATCTTACTTTAACCTTTAAATTTGCTGCTAAACTATAATTGTGTCCAGAGATCTTGCCATTTGCATAGACAAAGTCTGGGATTCAGGAAAAGAAAGGGATTACTCAATTATTGTCATGCAGTTTCACAACAGGAACCTGTTTCGATGCGTTGACTCAGTTCTGAAGGAAAACAACACTCCTTTACTCAGCTTCCCCATCCAGCAGGATGTGCCCCGAAATTTTATATGCAGGAAACCAGCACAAAGGACAAGGTAAGGTATTAAAAATTAAGTCCAGCCAGAACAATTAATTTAGTTAAATACTCAAAAAAGGAAGATGCCTAAGCGACAAGAACATGTCTGGATGTGAATGAAACCCATGAGACACGAAGAGCACGTGACAGACACAAATTCACTAACGTGATGGGATTTCCAGCCTGTATGCCATTGCCGAGCGTCAGGGATATTTGCAAATCTCTCTGAAAATTGAAGTTGTTGATATTTTAGAGGATGAATGCTCTAGGACATTGTACTACTGTCAGAAACATTAGGGGTGAAGAGCTACGAACGTCCTGGGCTGGGTTGTTTTCCAGAAGCAGAATGTAGTGGCACTGCAGGCAACAGCAATGGTACTTTTTATAATAGAATTATCCAGGGATATTTTTTAGCCTTTGGAAACGAGGTTTTGGTGTATTGCATGACCTAAAGAAATGATGTGTGACTGATGTTTACACAGTTCTCATACGCAGCTCAGAGGTTTTCCAGTCTCTTTGCTAGGTGACTTAAGGATAAACGCTGCCCCACTTCATCTCCTCTGACAGCAGACACTGATTTTCACTTCCATCTGTCTCTGCTCCGGGCCAGGATGAAACAACCAACTCTGTGACAGTTGTCTGCCACTTTGAATGAGACTTTTTTTTTTTCCCCCCGGGGGAAAATAGCCCTTTGTGGGAGAGGAGTGCAGCACTGCGGGCTTGAAAGGGCTTATTTCATCTCGGAGGCATGAATGGCGTTCGCAGTTCATGATCGCTGTGCCAGACCCAACAGGGACCCACTGCCACAGCAGCGGGACGTGGATGAAGGTCGGTGCGGACACAAAACGTGGCCAGCACAATAAACCCAGGAGCTGATGTCAATCCCCGGGCTGACACGGAGGGAGGTAAATGCCCTGCTAACCCTTCCTCGTGTCGGCGCAGGGCGTAGCGATTCTCCTTTGCCATCTTTTTGCCCGCTCCACCGAGAATCCGAGCGGCTTCCCGTGCCCGTATGGTTTTGTTTTAGCCGCGGCGGTGGCAGAGCTCTTTTGGGCTCGCATTTCTCCTGCCTCCTCCGGCTGCGGGGCGAATCCCCACCGAGCGCCCGGGGGAATTACAATAAAAAAATAAATCAATAAAAGGAAAAAGAAAGGAAAGAGAAGCGAGGAGCAGGACGAAAGGCCGAGGCGGGCAGCTCCCCCCGTGGGCGCTGCCGGAAGCGGCCCCGGGCCCGCCCGGCGGGGCGGCCGCTGCCAGCGCCGGGAAGGGGCGGAGGGCCCGGCGGGGCAGGGCGGCAGGTGCCGCGGGAGGATGGCGGCTGGAGACCCGGAGCAGGCGAGATACTGCGGGAGACTCTCCTACCTGTGCCTCAAGCTGACCCTCATCACCTACTCCACCACGTTCTGGGTGAGCGGCTGGGAGCGGGGGTCCCGCAGCCCTGGCTCCGGCCTTTGGCAGGGATGGATCTCCCCAGGCTGGCACGGCCGCCTGGCCGAAGGACGGACAGACTGCTTTTGGCGGATGGGGTTGGAAGTTTGAAGGCGGTGAAAATCATCCGTGCATTAATTAAAACGCAGCTCTGCCCCGCGGGGGAGGTGGGCGAAGGGAGCCTTTGCCCTGCAGGTCTCCTCGGTGCGCTGGGCTTGGCCTGTGCCGGGCCCCGGCAGGGTGAGGTGAGGCCGCAGAGCTCCCGGGTGTGTGTGGGGCACTTGCTGCAGAGCTCCCCGGGTGTGTGTGTGTGGGGCACTTGCTGCAGAGCTCCCGGGTGTGTGTGGGGCATTTGCTGCAGAGCTGCCGGGTGTGTGTGTGTGTGGCACTTGCTGTCCTCATCCAGGT